ACACACACACACACACACACACACACACACACACACACACACACACAGAGCGCATACATATACTCACATGCACACAGAATGAGGAGGACCAGGGTTTGACTCCCAGCACCCATGTAATTGGCTCACCACATGTAACTCTAATTCCATGGGATCAGATACCTTCTTCTAGTCCCAAAGGCATCCAGACATGTGCACATATACAGAGAGACAAACACACAGATGCATAAATGAAAACTAAGTGGGGGCCGGGGATCGTGAGGAGCGTGAAGAGGGAGCGTGAGGAGCGAGCGTGAGGAGCGTGAGGAGCACTCCTTAACTCCGACCCATCTATGGCCCTAGCACAGAGAAGCCCAGGGTGGTGCGGTATTCCTTCTCTTCACTTCTCATTTCAGGTTCGGGGCCTAGCTCCTCCCAGAGATGTCTCTTTACAAGATGGTTGTTTATCAGTACCTGGTGAGTTTGCATCCACTGTTCTTAAACAAGCCTGCTTCAGACTAGCCTTAGGCTGCTAGCAACACAGCGGAGACAGCTGAGGGCGTTTCCACGTGCTCCCACCTCCTCCCTGTTCTGAGTCTTGCAGGAGCGTGGTGTTTTGTTGCAATTCATGAGCTAGTATGTACACAAGCTTATTCACCAAGGCCATGGAGCGTTGTCTACCAGGACCCTCCTGTTCAGAACAGGGGAACAAACCATGAAAGCTGGGGTGGGTTCTCTCTCTCTCTCTCTCTCTCTCTCTCTCTCTCTCTCTCTCTCTCTCCTTTTATACAAGTCTCATGTAGCTCAGGCTGCCCTCAAACTTGCTAAATATCCAAGGATGTATTTGAACCTCTGATGCTCTTGCCTTGCACCAACCCCACCCCAGGCAATGTTAGACTAAAACACCTTCTGAGAATTATTTTTGTTAAAAAGGAGAAAGGAGATGTAAGGCTATAACTTGTAGTGAATTTGCCTAGCATGCATGGTGCCCTAGGTTCAATCCCCAGTACTTCATAAACCAGACATGGTGATACACGCCAGTCATTTCAACACTTGTGGAGGCCGGAGGATTAGGAGTTCAATGTCATCCTTGGCTATGTAGCCAATTTCAAGCCAGCCTGTGCTACAGAAGACCCTATCTTAAACAAACAAACAAAATACAGCAAAAAACTAGGCATGGTGGTGTACTCTCATCTCAGCACTTGGGAAGCAGAGGCAGGTGGCTCTCTGTGAGTTTGGGGCCAATGTGATCTAGATAGCAAGTTCCAGGCCATGTGGGGCTATACAGTGAGACCTCATCTCAAAACAACAGCAGCAGCAACAACAGACAAGAGAAGGAAGCAGGTGCTTGTGCAGAAGCAGGGATGTATTCCCTCACGACCTGGGAGAGGGCAACAGGCCAGCCACACCTTTCTTGCCTTGCCTTTCCCATGTCACAATATGGCCTGGAGTCAGGAGCACAGCCTGCACAGAGATGGGCCTCTGCCGACTGCAGCCACATTCAAAGCCCCCCGCCCACCAGTGGATCTGGTGGAGATTTCAGGTCTTTGCTGTCATAAACAGCCAAAGAGAACAGCTATGTGCACGTTCAGTTTCCCCATCCTCTTGCTGCCTCCCTGATGGGCACTGGAGTGGAGAGCGGATGAAGGCCTGAGTAGATGTGTGTTGTTGACATGGGCATTGCCATGTCAAGGACCCCAGTGCCTCAGAACCATCGGAATGGCAAAGCCTTCCCCGGATCAGGCTCCGGGAATTGGCAAAGCCTTCCTCTGGTTTGTGTACAGATGCTGACAGTGTATGCAAACCCCAGCATCACAGCTTATTCCTCCTACCTGAGCCTGCCCCTACAGCGATCTCTCACCAAAACTAGCTGACCCTCCTTCTGTGCTGCACAGAATAAACATGCAGGGTTTCTGGGTTTCACAGTAGGTGCCTTCCATCAGAGCAGGCATGGCCCACAGAATCCCAGCGTTTTCTACACGTGTATCTATTGTTTCTTCAGGGTCTGCCATTTCTCGTTCGTGAATTCCAGGACCAAGACGTGCAGGATGAGACACAATGGTTTTGGGGGGTGGGGCACGCTAGTGCTACCGTTCCTAGTTCCTAGAATCTGCCAGTCCTCAGCTTCTAGGCAGCAGGCTGTTTCCTCCCAATGTCTGGGACCTGGGCCTGCCGAGCTGACCTTCTGCCCACCTGGCAGTCCCTTCTCCACCTGCTCCCAGGAAGTGGCCCAGCATCTGGTTTCCTGGGACTGTTTAGTTCACTCGCCATGGGACTTCCAGAGTCGAGTGCAGGCCATCTGCTTTTGCATCCCAGGCCTCCTTAAAAATGGTTCCCTGCTGCCTGAAGGGATTCCATTAGACCGGTCTGGATGCATGGCTTTAAGTTGTCAGCTCTTACCATTCTTCTCAATAACATCCCACCCCCAACTTGTTTATTTTAGGAAAGATACAGAATTCCAAAGGTACAGGAAGGCACTAACTGGGCAATGTCCTCGAGAGTGATGGCCCAGGGGTCTCTACTCTCTCCAGCCACTGTGGAGTTTTGAGATTAGTTTTAAACACTCAGCAGTTCCCCTTCTGATTTATTGAAACCTAATGGTATTCCCTCTATTGATCTGAAATCTCTCTGAGAACCTCCATGTAACACTTCAAATCCCACGAAGGTCTCCAAGATCCTCCATGGGAAATGTTTAGGCTGCTTTCTCAGTCACAGCCCTGGGCCCTGCCCGGCATCAGAGGATGGCTGGGTATAGGTTGCTCAGAAATGTTCTCTAAAAGCTGTCCCCTGCCTGGCCTGCCATCCATCCATCATCCCCCAGCCATTGTGGAAAGCACAAAGAATGTAGGACACCCCCACCCCCACTCCACCATCCTGGGGGTGGGGCAGACTCAGGAGTTTCTACCAGAGAGCCAGGAACCCCTTAACAGCTGTTGCCTTGGGTCCAGAATGCCCCCAGAACAATAATTCCTCTCTTAGCAACCACTGTTGCCCCTAGAAATGTGCTGCTGGGGGCTGTGGCCATCCATCTCACCTAATACCTCCCTCCGGTACCCCTTTAAGTGGCTTTTCCCACATGCTGACAGACTGCGCTGGAGCAGCGCCTGCTTTGTTGAACTTGAGCTGCCTTCGTCCCTGGTTGCTGTTGTTGCCACCATTAGCATCATCAACGTTTTATTATTGTAGTACTGCGGAAGGAACCCAGGGCCCTGCACCCGCTAGGCGAGAGCTGTACCACTGAGCTACACCCCAGCCTCTTTTTCACTTTTTATTTTGAGATAAGGTCTCATTAAGTTACCTTGGTTCTCCTTGACCTCACTCTAGAGTCCAGGTCAGCCTTGAACTTGTAATCCTTTTGTCGACCTCTCTTGGGTAGCTGGTATGACAGGCCTGCCTGAATCACCAGGTCTGGCTCATCCTTGGTTATTCCTTCCTCCCACTGGTCGTACCCTCCCCTTTGCTAAGACTTTTCATATTCTCTGAGCCGCCTAGCTGGGGATGAACTGTGTGTGGATCAGGACCCTGATGGGTCTTCCAGCCTCCCTGGGTGAAGATCTGGCATCTCAGTTCAAAGCAGTGGAAGCACGTCTAACAAGGATGGTGTTGCACAGTCAGGATGACATCACTCTACAGCATTCTTCATTGGCCAAAGTGAGCCCTTCCCCCCACTCAGCCAAGTGCTGGTTCGAGGCCCCAGGCACAGCTGGACAGGCGGAATGCTATGGGGACCTGACTAGTCCTTCAACATAGAGGCAGCATGAGATGAAGGTCTAGAGTGGGCCGTCCACAGCAGCCTGCTCAGCTGTCTTCAGAATCAGGTCACGTCTGCTGCTGTGCATTTACAGTCCTTGGTGGGTAGGGGGTGGTGTCCCCTGATTAGCCTCACTGGACAAGACCTCACACTGGTCCACCACATGGATGACATTGTGGTCAGTGATTTCATGGGGCTGTGTCATTAGTCCCCACAGCTACCCTAGTGATGGGGTAGTGGTTGTTCCCATTCCGCAAACAAGGGGTTGAAGGTAACGCAGAAGATGTGGACCATTCTTCTTCAGTCTGGAGAGCGGGGCAGAGGAAGTCCTACAGTCTGGGACACGTGTAAGGACAGACACAGATGCATCATGGAGAACCACAAGCCCAGTTTAGAGGATGCTAAGGACTTCAGGGAGGGGCAAGGATAATTCTAAATTCACAACAGCAGCAGCCCTGCCCCGATGAGGTGTGTTTACTAGAGAATGTGGCTACAGCCCTCAGCAGCTGGGGTGCAGCTGTGACCTTGCACTTTGTAAGGGGCAAGCAGCTGGCTCCCACCTGACGGCTAGGGGCCTGCCAGATGCTCCGAGAGCCACACCATGTCTGCCATAGTGCCTCTGCAGCCCTTGGAGAGGTCTGGTCAGTTCCATGGCACAGATGATGTCATGGTCAGCCGCGGTGTAAACAGCCAGTAGCAAGTACTCCCATGGCTTTTTACATTTTAGGTGAACCAAAGACTGGGAGGTAAAAACCACTCAGCTGTTGGGCCACCTCTACCTGTACAGAGCTTGCTAGCATGTGAGAGGCCCTGAGTTCCATCCCCCATACCACACAAAGAAACACCTAAGGGTCAGGAAACGTCTTGGAAGAGGGTGCAGAAGGATTGTAGGGGGAGTAGGGGAGGACCAGGATGCCTGCTGTTAGATAGTGTCTCCTAGATAGAACGAGAATGCTGCAACCATGAAATCTCGACCATGTGGATACCTAAACCAGGCCTGCATAACGACAACCCCAGCGGACACACTAGCTGCACAGGGAAGGCACAGGCCTTATCCCTAGACGAAGAGCCGCAGCAAGGAAAAATTAGCTATGTGCAAGAATGAACCCCCAATAGGTTATCCAGTCCCAAATGGTCAGCCCTACACACACGTACATATGAGCCACACTAAATGGGTACAATAGGAGGGGTTTTGCGTGTAAAACAATAGAGACTGTAGAAGAGGTCATGAAAGGGAGTGGGGGACATGAGAAGTTGGAGGGAGAGAGGGAGGGGTGGAAATGAGGGAGGCACAGTCAGCACTCACAAATGAAATTCTCAAAAAATTAAAGAATAAAAAAAGAACTTCATTGCACAGAACCTGTCAGACCCACGGATGTCTAGGTTTTCCCTCGCAAGGAAGACGGTACATTTCTGTCTCTCCCATGACCTCACACACATACATGTTCCTGTATTTACAGACCTGTCTAGAATGTGGAAGTGATGCAGGCCACACTGGAGCATGGCAGAATGGTTCGTTCTCATTGTCACCTGACTGGATTTGGAAACACCGGGGAGACACGCCTCTGAGCATGTCCAGGGGCCCTTTCCAGAGTTGACTGAGGAAGGACGACTCACCCTGAGTGTGGGCTGAAACATCCCACGAGCTGGGATCTTTTTCTTTTTTTAAAGATTTATTTTATTTTTATTTTATACATGTGAATGTTTTGCCTGCATGTATGTGCCACATGCCTTCTTCCAGTACCTTCCGTCCCTCTGGGTGGATCTACTTTTCTGACTGAGGACCTACCAAGTTCACAGGTGCCAGATCTGGGGCTGGGCACAGCTTGCTTCCCTTGGTCACTTGCTCCATGCTGCTGAGCTGGAGCCCTCGCAGCCTGCGGCAGTCAGTGTCTGTCTTCCCACTTTGCCAGCTCCCTAACCCTAACCTCAACCCTGAGGTTGGCCAGGGAAGCGGGTGTGCCATCACACACCCAGGCTGTGACTCTGGGCCGAGTGCCCCACTCGAGAATACTGGTGTGGGGTTCTGAGCAGTTTCTTCTGTCATGGTCCTCCTCCCTCTGACTCATCTGGCCAGAAGGGCAATGAAACCTTTCCAGATTTTTTACCATCTGTGAGAACCCAGGGTTTGCCAAATGCAAATTTATGTGGTAACAGGTGCTTTCAGAAGCGCGTCAGACTCACAAGGCACAGCTCCCATCAAGTGTGAACTGAATGGACTTACCGTTGTTGCCAGGTAGGGTCGCGCTGTATGGCCGTGTTGGTTGTTCACTGTGCAAGAGTGTGCACTGTGTGTGTGTGTGTGTGTGTGTGTGTATGAGTCTAGCCTGCTCCTGGCTCTATATGCTGTGTACAGCTGCTAGCATGCTTGCACAGAGGGGTGACTTTTCATACTTGCACAGAGATTTCAGATGATTTGAGGCAGGAAGATCTACCCTAAGTCTGGGTGGCGCCTTCTGGTGTCAGCCCAGATGAAAGGACATGGGAGAAGGGAACTTCGCCTTTTCCATGTTTGCCCCCACGCTCACTTCAAGCTCACCTAGCCTGCAGTGGCAGCGCTCCTCCACTGATATCAGAACCTACTTCTGGATTCTAACAGCCTGGAGAGCAGAGGCTCTTCAGATGAGGACCACTGAACATCCAGCTTTGAGGACTGAACAACTGTGAGATTCCCAGTCATTGTTAGACCTCTTGGACCACAGCCAGTGAGCCAGCCTAATAAATCTCCTACACATATGCACACACACACACATGCACACAGATGCACCGCCCCCCCTATTGGTTCAGCTCCTTTAGGCCCTGGCTAAGACACACAGTCACATCTAAAATGAGTGGGACTCAGCCCAGCAACTGCCCCACAGTGTGGGCTCTCCTTCCAACCAGGCAGCCTTCCTACAGGTACCACTGGAACATGGAGACCACAGGGAGGTCACAGGTTGGTGACTCTGTTCTGGCATGCCATCTCTTCCTATAACTCACAGTTACTTGCAGCTCAGGGTTCAGTGACTCCAGGAGCACACTCCCAAGAGCATTCTAGAAAGTGTGCGTGCGCATGCGCATGTGTGTATGTAGGGGCGTGGTCTGGGGATGTTACTATGCACGGGGACCTGGCCCTGACACAACCTCAGCAAGGACACTTCGGACCATGGAGCTATGCTGGACCAGCAGAGAGGAGGACAGTCTCGTCCAGGTAGGCCAGGCTACCAGTTTAACAGATGAAAAGGGGTTGGACTGGAGCTGAGTGCTCCCAGAAGAGAACACTGGCTGAGGCCACCCTGGTAGGACTCAGTCAGAGGTCCTCCCAATCCTTCCTCCCTCGTTGTCCACACTGAAGTGGCCAACTGAGAGAAGGCAGGCACGTGGAGTGGATGGTGCTCACAGTAAGGGGCGGTACCCGCAGCAAAGGGAGCCTCCCACAATGCACCTAGCCCTGGTTCATCACCAGTCATCCCTCTCTTGGTCCATCTATTCATCACCTGTCTGTCCATCTCCCCTCCCGCGCCCCCCCCCTCCCGTTTTCACCTTCTATCTACCTATCCCTCCGCCTGTGGCTCATCTCTTGTCTGTCTGTTAGCTGACCTTGAGGTTGAAGCTAGGACACGTGCTGTGTGGCCCTGCCTTTGAAGGAGGTACTCTTGAGAAAGATGAATAGCCAGGGAGTCCAGGTTAGTCTGCAGTCAGGCTTTGGGGGATCCTAAACTGTTTGGGGAGTGTGGCAAGTACAGGCAATTAGGCTCAGGTAAACAATGGGGGGGGGGGACAGGGGGTTGGCTAGAAACTCAGGGATATGGTTAGACTAGAGTAGAGGCACAGCTCACCCTCTGCAGGGTCCATGTGACCGATTAGCTCACACAGATACCTCATATATGTTTTTGCCTGCTGGAGGCATCAGCCCAAAGGCCCTGCTTCCAACCTCTGCCTGGGACAGGGCAAGCTTCACCTGTGTGTTGGAAGAGCCTATAAAGGCAGGCTGGGCTTGTCATTCTTTGCTTTATTAAAGTTCAAGTGTGCTGGACTGAGCAGAATGGGAGGCTTTGGTCTAAAATAAACCTGAGTTGCGTCAGCCTGCGAACCGGCTCTGGAGGCTGGAGGCGGGCTCTGCAGCAGTGGAGGAGTGGCTGCAAAGCCCAGGGGCTGTCACCACCAGGGTCAAGAGCTGCCCTCAGGAGCTGAGCCACCCACTTCTGAGAACCCAAGGGCAGAATGCTGCCCTGAGCCCCAAACCTATTTGAACCCAGTTGAACACAGCACAAAACCTAATCCTAGGCCCATTTCTATACTTGGTAACCCTGGGAGCTCCCAGTTCTGGGGCCTGCTGGTGCCTTTCATGGTAGTGGGGGCTTAGGCCACAGCAATGGAAGCCTTTTACCAAGGTTACAGGCATGGCCTGATCTGGGCTCCTAGGTACTGTGGTGCTTATAGCTAGAAGGGTCCTAACTGATGGGGTTGGAGGGCTGGTTCCACCCCTTTCCCTTTCTTGGAGCTGCAAGGACCAGAATTCTAGAGTCATGGTTTGAACATGCTTGAAGTTCATCGAAGGAAGAGCTGCCAGGAGTGCACTGGACATCAGGCCTCAGATTCCCTGAGCTTGCAGCCATCTTGTTGGCTGAGTAGAGACGTTCTAAAGGTCTGTGTGATTCCAGAAAAGTGAGAGGCAGATGCAGATCTCTGAGTTACAGTATGGGCTGGCTTCCCTCCAGCCCTCTGCGTGTGTGTGTGTGTGTGTGTGTGTGTGTGTGTGTGTGTGTGTGGTGTAGGTCAGAGGCCTTGTTGGTGTCCCTCAGGAGCAGTTTGTCACTGGTCTGAAACTCGCCAGCTAGACTAGGCTGCCCAGCAAGCCCCAGGAATCCACCTGTCTCCACCTTTGCTGCACTGGGCTTATACACCTGCGCCGCCATGCCCAGCTTTGTACGTCGGTACCGAAGGCTGGATGGACCCGGGTCCTCAAGCTTGCAAACTTCGCTGGCAACATCTCCCCAGCTCTCCAGTGGTCCTTGAATGAAGCACGTTCTCTGTGGGCTTCTCACTGGGAGGGCAGTCAGAGACTTCTATTCTCCAGATTGGTTCCACAGCTGGGAGGTGCAGGGGGCAGGGTCACTCCATGCGTCCCATCTGGCCTTAGTCTAGCAAACCTGAGTCAGTAGTCCAGGGGTGAGTCAATGGGGGGGTAGTGGACTGTGGATTAGGGATTCTCTTTCTGGACCTGGGGTCTAAATGTGCCCAAGTCAGTTGTCACCCCTGGGTTCCAATGGCCTGTCATGGGCACAACCAACTGGAATCCATATAGAGTCTCCCCTGGGAGTGAACAACACCTACCTAGGTGGTGTCTCCAGTCCATCTCTGTGATGATGTGGCTTTCTGTTGACAGGGACTAGAGGGCCCCTGCCACCCACACTATGACCTGGAGTTTCCATCTCAGCACCAACACAGAGGAGAGACCTCAGCTGACCTCGGCCACCGGGGTTGCCCTCTCTGAGCACCTGCTGGGGTGTCACCACCTGTTGGGGTTTTTGCCTGGAAGGCCCTGGACCAACCCAGAAACCAACAGTGATGTCAGCCCCAGGAGCCAGGACTCTGTGCCAGCCTGGCTGTTTGGAGAGCCTGTGACTGCATGGGAGAGGAAAGGCCAGTGCCCAGTGCCCAGGCTGGCAGGTTCAGGAGGAATGGGAGCGCATGTGCACCTTGTATCCGATCCCCTCATCAGCACTACACAGCTGTGCTGGGGAAGATTATTTTAAGGTGTGCTGCTTTGGTTTATGCTGCATTTGTTTAACTCTGAGAAGCTGTGTTACTGTGCCTGTCTAAAACACCCGATGGCCTAATAAAGAGCTGAACGGCCGATAGTGAGGCAGGAGAGAGGAATTGGCAGGGCTGGCAGGCAGAGAGGACAAACAGAAGGAGAAATCTGGGAGAAAAGGATCTGGGAACGAGAGAGGAAGGAGGAGGATTTCAGGGGCCAGCCACCCAGCCACCCTGGCAGATATGGAGCTCGGCTTGTTTCTTGCAAACTTTTCTTAACTTATCCCATCTACCTTTGGTCTCAGGGCTTTTATATTTCTCTTTTTCTGTATACTTTTTCTTTCCTTCTTACTCCATGTCGTGACCTCACTTCTAATTGAACAAATCTCTGCTGCAGTTTAGGCTGTCCCTGGCTAAATCACAGGCCGGTCATGATCAGTGTCGTCTGTAGGCGTCGAGCGGGCAGAGGTAGGGGACTCCCAACTCTGTTTTTCTGGCAACAGCCCCTGCTCAGAAGCTATGGAGGCCACCCCACAAATACCTTAACAGACAAAAAGAAACCTTTCACTTTTGATCAGAGCAGCATGTCTCTCAGGTGCCCAGCCTTACACTGTAACCTTCCTTATGAATCAGACTCCAGGGCTGAGAGATGGCTTAGTAGGGAAGAGAGCATACTGCTCCCATAGAGGACCTGGGCTTGCTTCCCAGGGTCTACATCAAGTGGCTCACACCCACTTGTAACTCCAGCTCTAGGGCATTTGATGCCTCTGGCCTCTACTCACATGAAAACACACAGACACACACAGACACACGGACAAACACACACACAGGCACATACACATGGACACACACCCACACAGACACAAACACATGGATACAGAAACATGGACACACACCCACAAAGGCACAAACACATGGATACAGACACATGAACACACACACAGATATACCCACACTCGGACACACACACTCACATATACATGGACACACACAAACATACACATGGACACACACACACACACACATGGACACACACAAACATACATAACCACATAGACACACAAACACATGGACCACACATGGACACACATATATGAACATACCCACACATGGACAAACACACATGAACACACAGAGACAGAGACATACAGACACACACACACATGGCCATACCTACACATGGACACACATACACTGACATAGACACAAGGGCTCACACACACACGGATACACACACCGACACACATATACATACACACACACATGAGCACACATGAACATACACCTGGACACAAACACACACAGAGACACATACACACTAAAATAAATCTTGCAAAAAAAGAACCAGATCCTGCTTCCTGCCCTCATATTGGGATTTCCCTGCTCTATGTGGTCCTGGACAACTACCCATCTGCCAGCTGGGCTGGGTCAGGCCCTTATAGGTCCCTGGAAGCGTACCCACTGCTCTTCTGACCTGTGCTGGGTAGCCTAGGCTTTTCCCAGGTTTGGTCTTAGAATGTGGGGTTCATACTTCACTGCTGGCCCTGCGGTCATGCCATCTCTGGAATGTTTTGGGCACAATCTTGATATCTAGTCCTGTGCTCACCAAGGAAGGGCATCTGCTTGCCCAGACACCTGAGCCTTCTCCCAGGCACAGTTCACCAGTTTCTCAGAGCTGTGGACAGAACCGTGTAAGGGAAGAAGGGTTTGTCTGGCTCATAATTTTGAAGGCATCATATTCCTAATGATTACAGTCTCTCTCCTGGCACAAGCCTTGGCTGTAACATTCAGCTTCCCGCTCTTTCTCTTCACTCTGTAGCTTGTGTTTCTTTCCGCCCAATCTGTTTTTTTTTTTCACCATAGACCTGCATAATTGTTATCAGTAACATCCATGTTACAGATTCAACATCATGTTGTTTTGAAATTTCCTCTGCCAAAGAAATTAGTACATTTCCTTAAATGTCAGCCCCAGGCAAGTTCTCAGGACAAGGGCAGGAAGTAGTGCATTCTTTACCCAAACATTACATAAATGATTTCTAGCCCAGTTACTAAAATTCTTCCCCTCGGAAGTCTCTTGAGGCGGTGTGGTGGCTAGGAGCAATACACTTCAGGTTGAGAGAGAGAGAGAGAGAGAGAGAGAGAGAGGTCTTCCGGCCTCGGTTAATCCTCCCTGGCGATGCCTTCAGCGATCCCCCAGGACTGCTAACCTCTCAGGCACTTCTCCAGCTATCACTCAAGCTGAACTTTCACAGTGAGCTGTCTCACAAGATCGAGCCAGTCAGACAGCTTGGCATTTAAAAGTCTAATCCCTTCCCTGGAAACATCTGGCCACCCTGGTTGCCCATCTTTCCCACGTGGCCTTCAGTGAGTCCCTTGTCAGGCCCGCTTAGCCAGCATGGGTCTCAATCCCACTGTGCTTCTTAGGCACATCCCTCTGCAGACTGCGCAGTTCATCAGCCCTAACCCCACATCTCCATGCAGCGTTGGGCAGTGAACTCAGCTCCGTGCCTTGTGTGGCTTCATTCTAATCCACTTTCTATCTTCCTATCACAAATAGCCCTGTTGGGGGCAGGAACTTGAAATTAAAAAGATATCTTGTGATGTAGCCCAGGCTAGCCTTCAATCCCACCTGAGCCTTCTAAGGGCCAGCATCATGGGCATGAGCCATGGCATCCAGTTCAGGAAGTCTGCTTGGCTTTCTTCTCTGTGCACCCCAGGCTCTCCTTTCAGTCAGCACTTGGGCTGCTCAGAGCCTGGACTGAAGAGCACCTCCCAGCGTTAGATTGTGTCTCCCAGTCTCGAAGACACACAGACACATTTGGAATAAGAAAATCACCTTCCCAGGTAAGCCCAAGAACAGTCGACTTTCTGTGATGCTTTCCCAAGAAGAAGTGCCCGCTAAAGAGTCTTGTGGCTGTGTAACTGGCGTCCCAAACCAAAGATGACACCTCCTCAGCCCCTGCACCATAGTGAAGCCGAACCTGTCACTAGCTCACACAGCACAGTGTGTGGCACTGGACACGCCTGTCTCCCTACTAGTTGCAAAGAATGCTCTAGAAGACTGAGCTGCAGACAGGATGGCTGGTGGGAGCCTCCTCTGCGCTGGCCTGGCTCCCTAGCACTCTGTACCTTCCTAGTGAAGGAGGGAGGTGGAGGTGCCCAGGGCCCTGGCAAGTGGTGTCCCATAGGCAACAGTCTGAGAGCCCAGTCCATCTTTCCTGTGTGGCTGCCATCTTCCTGGGTGGTGTCTCCCACCTAAGCGCATGCATGCCAGATGTTAGGAGCACCCTCCCTCACTCCTGGGGCTGCCCTGCCTTAGGCAGGGGGACTTTTCTTCTGAGACTATCTCTTCTTGTCCTTTTGCCCACTTCTTTACTCTCAAATGTCTCTCTCTGAAGAGAGCATCTGGAGCTGTGTAGAGGCTGGCCAGCAGCCTGTGCTCTGCTAGAGTCTGTACATCGGCCAGATGTTTCCAGATGTTCAAGAACAGGAGTTGAAGAACCATTACCTCCATCCCTCAAGTCAGGCCTGGCCTCTGGGGCAGTTGGCTGGAGCCAGGGCTGCACGTTACTTTAGGGTCACAGTCTGCTATGGGTTGAAAGGGATCTCCCAGATGAATGTTTTGGCATGAACCCGAACATGAGCTTCTAGAAAGGTCAAGGTAGGGAGATTGCGAGTTCAAGGCTATCCCAAAACAAAATAAAACAAAACACACCCCCAAACAAAAGAAAACACTCAAAATAACAACCTCAGAAGTGGGCACTCATAGGACTCGAAGCCATGAAGGTGGCCTTGTTGTTGATGGAATTAAGTTGAAGTTGTTCGGGAAGACGATACCACTAGTCTCATTACTGATGATGGTTAGACACCAGACGATACTTGGGCCATAATACCTGTCTGTGGCAGATTCTCCATCTTACAGATACTAACACGCTACTTTGACACTGGGAATCCCTACCCAAGAGACTCACAGGAGCATGGGTTTCTCATTTGGGGAAGTAAGTCAGCTGGACTCAGCAAAGGACCTCAGTGGCCACATGTCACCCTCCCTACCCTTCTCCTTGCAGCTTACTGAGGATTCAGAGAGCCTGGCTGCAGGCTCATGTTGTGAAACCACCCCCTTCTTCAGAGAACTGGAACAGAGAAGCCCCACTCCCTCCTTGTGAGCCTGACTCCTCCTCAGAGGCCCTGCCATGCCGCTATGCCGCCATATTGCCATGCGGCCAGCCTCTGGTGCTGGGGCCTGAACTCTCCTCAGAGCCTCCACCATTCTGTTGTCTGTCTGTCCACAGCATTAACGACTCTTCTAATAAATTTCTTTTAAGAAAACTTTACGGGTGAAGCATCTGGCATTACTAGGAGACACAATCTCACAGCAAATTCTCTCTGCCTCTTTAGTTTGCAGTACCCATGGAGGCCAGAAGAGGGCATAAGATTTCCCTGGAACTGGTGTTATAAATGGTTGTGAGCTGCCATGTGGGTACCAAAAACTAAGCCTGGGTCCTCTGCAAGGCAATAAACACTCTTAACCTCTGAGCCATCTCTGAAGCCTCATGAGTTGATACTTTCAATCTGTAAGAACTTTTAATTAATTTTTAATTTTATTATGTTGTTCCCAAGCATGGATTCTGTAGATGATGGTATCTTGCTGCAGTGTCAGAAAGTTGGGCATGTCTGGTATACTCTCACCCAATTCCACAACCACATTTGCCCCTGTGTGGATGTCCTATGTGGATGGACACATGGCTGGGGATGGAGCTAAGTGGTAGAGTGTTTGCTCAGTATACACAAGACCCTAAATGTCTATCCCTATCACTGAGGGTGGGGAGAGGGAAAATGCCTAGAAATTGGGTTCTGTGAGCCCAGAAGTGCATTCCCATTTGTGGGAGCTGGAGGCCTCCTGTTCCTCGGAGGAGACAGGACATCAACTATCAAGGATGGCCTCAGGGACCTTCTGGCAAAGTGATCTCAGTGCCTTCTGCTGTGTTCTGGCTGTCAAGGCAGCATGGTGAGGCAGGATGTGACCTGCCAACACCACTGGCCAGAGAGCTCTGGTGCCCAGCTTTGTCCCTGAGCCAAGACTCCCTCATCAAAAATCCCCAGGGAGAGAGGGAGCGCTTCAGCTCCTGAGGTCTTCCTAGGAATTCCCTAGGAAGCTATGGCTCTGAGAGGTGGCAGTTGGCCAGTGAGATTTGACACCAGCACACTCAGGCCACAGCACCAGCAGCCTGCCTGTCACTGTCAACATGTGATGGCTCATCTTTAAACGTGACTTGACTCAACCTAGAATCGCCTAGACAGCCTTAAAGCATTGTCTTTATCAGCATGATTCTCTTGATCATTAACTGATTTGGGAAGACCCAGTCCACGGCGGGCAGCACCGTTGGCTAGGCTGGGCCCTGACGAAGGAGGAGAAGGCAAGTGAGCAAGCAAGCCTGCCTGCTTTGCTTTCCCTCTGTTCTTGACTATAGATGTGATGTGAGCATCTGCTTTATGTCCCTGCCACTGTAACTTCTCTGCTATGACAGACTGACCTGGAGGTGCGAGCCAGACAAACCCTTTCTCCTCCAAGCTGCTTTAAGTCAGTGTATGTATGTGTGTGTGTATATATATATATATATATATATATATATATACAGAAATAGAAGTGAATCTAGAACACATGACAACTGCCTCTTCAGGCTCCCCACCGCTGCTGCAGCTGGGGCAGCTGAAGAGACACGGAGACACCCTTATCCATTTCCAGACAGCTCAAGCATAAAGTCAACTAGTGTCTGAGCCATACTCAGGAGGCATGTTCCCCAAGACTGATATGGCAACAGGCCATTAAAAGTATCATCACATTACACTGCAAGCAGCCTTAGGGACGAGGGCATAGGATGGCTTCTGCACTGACTCCCATGCCCAGCTTTAGCTTGGGTTCCCAGGCTCCTTGCTTGGGTGTGGGCTGTCAGGCCTGCTTCTCCCCACATCTCCTTTATCTGAGCCCATCAGTCCTACAGGGTTCTGGGGGGACAGGAACAGGCACAGACACTGAGGGTTTTAGTTCCCTAATGGTCAACAGTTCACATAGGGGCTGTGATCTGTCAGGTCTACCAGTTCCAACTGCAGTGGACAGACTGGAGCTCCTAAGGCACCGAGCTTTAAGCAGATAGACAGGAAACCAAGTGAGTCTGATCTGAAGTCTGATAGGAGGCCAAATGACCCCACGGAACCTTCCCCTCACCAAACCTATGCTGTCCATTTTCCCATCCCACAATGAGGGGGAGCCCAAGATATGTAGGGTTGCTTCTTCTGACATCTGAACAGCTTTGTTGAAAGCGGGTGGATGATTCAATAATTCCAGACTTACTGGTGACAAAGGCCAGCATGACTGCACAGAGGGTTCTGGAAGGAGGTAGCAAGCCGAAGGAGGAGGGGATAGACTGCTTTCCAGGGCACCGTCATCAGGACCAGTAGCTGATACTAAAAAGCAAGCACTAGCTGGCCTTTGCTGAGACAGGAGCATGACAGAACACAGGCCTCTCCAATGTAGACCGAACTCAGGAGGCACCCTCCCAGACAGCTCACACAACCTCAAGGGGTCACCAGGTTCCCATCTCCCCTCTTGCCGTGAGTTCAGACTGAGGCCAAACATCCAGCCTGGGGAGATTTACGGCTCCATTTGGCACCCACGTGTTCCACCTTACCAGAAACCATTTAATGAGTGTTCCAGCTCAAAGACAACAGCAAAAAATTAATCCCCTCTCCAAGGGATGAGACGCCTCATTTCCAAGGCTCTGATCTGTGGACTTTCATCTTCGAAGGCCATTTGTCACTTTCTCATCCACGCCTGCGCAGTGGAGCTGGCTAGGGACAAGTCACAGGCTACCTCAGGCAGCCACCAGGGTCCATCACTTGGTGTTAGTTAGACCCATTGCTGGGGCTTTGGTATAGGACTATAGGCCAGGCACACCGGCAATCTGGGGGGCTAAGGCACTAACATAAATCCAGCCTGTGTTTCCTAGCAAGACCTGCCTGAGAAACGAAGCAGGGCTGGAGAGGCATCTCAGAAGTTAAGCCCTGGCTGCTCTTGTGGAGGAACCAAGCTCAGTTTCTAGCACCCACATCAGAGCCCAGTCACATACTGCATGCAGTACTGAGGGATCCAACACCCACTTCTGGCCTCCAAGGGCACTGCATGAATAGACAAGCAGGCACACATACAGACAAGCAGGCACACACATACAGACAAGCAGGCACACATACAGACAAGCAGGCACACATACAGACAAGCAGGCACACATACAGACAAGCAGGCACACACATACAGACAAGCAGGCACACATACAGACAAGCAGGCACACACATACAGACAAGAAGGTACACATACAGACAAGCAGACACATGCATACAGACAAGCAGGCACACACATACAGACAAGAAGGTACACATACAGACAAGCAGACACATGCATACAGACAAGCAGGCACACACATACAGACAAGAAGGTACACATACAGACAAGCAGACACA